CCCTACTCACAACCTCTTCTGCAGAAAGCTGACAGAGTTGGTCCTTCCCCATAATTTGCCCTGTCCTGAGGTATACGACCCTTCTATACTGTCCACAATTGATTGTATCAGGGATCTATGTCCTAGTTAAGGGCCATTATCCTTTCAGTTGGACATAAAGGAGGCCAGGCGGGGTATGGTGGCTCACGCCTGTAATCCCAGCACTTTAGGAGGCCGAGGCGGGTGGATCATCTGAGGTCAGGAGTTGGAGACCAGCCTGGCCACCATGGTGAAACCCCGTCTCTACTAAAAATACAAAAATTAGCTGGGTGTGGTGGCGGGTGCCTGTAATCCCAGCTATTTGGGAGGCTGAGGAATGAGAATCGCTTGAACCCAGGAGGTGGAGGCTGCAGTGAGCCGAGATGGCACCATTGCACTTCAGCCTGGGCCACAGAGCAAGACGCTGTCTCAAAAAAAGGGGGGGAAGGGGACAGGCCGGGTGTGGTGGCTCACACCTATAATCCTAGCACTTGGGGAGGCCAAGACGGGTAGATCCTGAGGTCAAGAGTTTGGGACCAGCCCGGCCAACATGGTGAAACCCCGTCTCTACTAAATACAAAAAAAAAAATAAATAAATAATTAGCCAGGCGTGGTGGCACACACCTGTAGCCCCAGCTACTTGGGAGGCTGAGGCAGGAGAATCTCTTGAACCCGGGAGGTTGCAGTGATCCAAGATTGCACCTTTTCACTCTAGCCTGGGTGAAAGAGCGAATTTCTACCAAAAAAAAAAAAAAAAAAAAGGAGGCCAGTAGCCAGAATAATCTCCACCCAATCAGGGAGCTCTATTTTGGATTATAACTAATAGACTCAATCGGATCGTCTCTCAGGGACTATAGAGAATAGGAGAAGTAGCAGAGGCGAACGTGGGCAGGGAAGCTGGAGAGCACATGAATAAGAGGATGCACATTGTAACTACATGGCAATAGACATCCACTTCAAAAGCAAGGACTCAACCCAGCCGTCTAAGCTGCTGGTGTTCACTACATGACAAAGAGCCATTTTTTTCCCAGCTCTCCAAGAAGGTTTGCCTCTGATCAGCATTAAAATAAGCCTCCAGCATCTAAGATAATGTCAACGTGCCTTTGTTCCTTGTAACTTAAAGGAGGCAGCCCGAATTCATCATGAAAAGAAAAACCCAGACCTGCAATATACAGCACATTAAAATAAAATAAGTCAGGCATAAAAAATACCACATAAAAAAAGATTATACAACCTGAAATCTAGGCTTTGACATTTACTTTAATAGAGGGAATAAGAAAAATGTGCAATGAAAATTACTCTATAGTTGTTCAACAGATAAATGAAAATGTGAATACTTAAGCACCCACAGAGTTTGCTCAATGGCATTTAAAAAGCAAGCATTCTTCAAACTAGAATTCAAGAATCAAGGGTAAGTTAGGAAGACATTAGTAATTATGCTTATTTTCCTGGGCTCTTTACATAAAAATGAAAGTAATTTCCAGCCCATAAAGCTCACTTTTAAAGATACCTCAATTAAAAATATTTTATCTCTCTATACATGTGTAAATCTTTTGTCATAACCAAAATAGGTTATTGGAAATAAAACATGTATTGTAGCCAATTCAAGTTGAAAAAAAAGAAACCTGGGTCTCCTTCAGTTGTCAAGCCATGAGAGCTTCATCTCATATCAATCTTAAGATCTCTGTAAACACATAAGCTTTCAATTATTATAACTTTAAAAAGCCACTTCAAAAGTCACCACATAATTACTTTGGTTTCCTTGGCATCCAAGTACTTTTTAAAAGCTTACTTTCTAGCTGTAATTATTTTGAAGTTTGGCATTCATATCTTTGCATTTCCATTTCCAAAGTACTCTGCAGTTCTTAATATTTTTGAACAAGTCAGTAAAATAGTTTTGCAGCACTTAAAAGTTTTTAACGTAGTTCCCTAATAAATTGCTGTTCTGAAAAATCCCTATATAAGACAAAGCCTTTGCTCAAGTTTGTTCATGGTCTCTCCTTTTGCTTGCAAATGGTACAACTGTGCCTGTCTCAGGGAACAATCACTCTAACTGGGTATTAAAGAGACTGGGAATGTTTCCCCTCATTGAATATATCCACTCAGTTAGGAAAACTGAGTTATCAAGACAAAGGGGTTATAAACCCAGATGGGATCTTAGATGTGCTTACAACATAAACTCATAAGAGTACTACAAAAGAAAGCAAAGACAACACTATGATTCTCATAGAGAACTGCATATTCCCAGGGTAGTTTTCTTCTGAAGAAATTAGGATACTTTACTATCAAAGTGAAAAATATTTCCCTAATTAAGCATCCATACAAGCTGCATTTCCTTTATGACTCCAGTTTTTATTCATGGGTTTTAAGATACCCCAAGTAAACCTGGTATATAACATTAATACTACTATAATTCTAATTATCTACTTTGAACACCACTTTCATATACTGGGATTTCTAGGAGTGGTGTGATTTTAAAACACAGTGTATGTTTACATACACTGCCACAACCCTTCTTCTCCCACAAAATATTAATTTAGTAAATATTTAATACTGAAATCATGCCTTTATCACTTGGTAATTATAATTAAGTTGGCAATATAAGTAGCTTAATAGGTAACTAGTATTTGGACTTCATACTTTAATTTTGAAAACTCACTGTTAAACACAGGTATGTTCTATTTGAACTCTGTTCAATGAGCTTCAATTTCATATTTAAAGCAACTCTATCAAGTGATTCATACCTTATCTTCAACATATACTCATGAAAAACTCACTATTGCAGCCGGGTGCGGTGGCTCACTCCTGAAATCCCAGCACTTTGGGAGGCCAAGGAGGGTAGATCGTTTGAAGTCAGGAGTTTGAGACAAGTCTGGCCAACATAGTGAAACCCCGTCTCTACTAAAAATATAAAAGCCGAGCATGGTAGCACACGCCTGTAATCCCAGCTACTCGGGAGGCTGAGGCAGAAGAATCGTTTGAACCCGGGAGGCAGAGGTTGCAGTGAGCCAGGATCACGTCCCTGCACTCCATCCTGAGTGACAGAGCAAGACTCTGTCTCAAAAAAAAACAAGAAACAAAAAAATTAGCCAAGCATGGGGTCACACACCTGTAGACTCAGCTAGTCAAGAGGCTGAGGTGGCAAGATAGCTTGATCTCAGGAGATTGAGGCTGCAGTGAACCATGATCACGTCACTGCTCTCCAGCTTGGGTGACAGAGTAAAACTGTCTCAAAAAAAAAAAAAAAAAGAAAAGAAAAAACGGAAACCTAGGTATATGAAGCCATCATGAAACTGATGTGCTATATACGCCAGAGTCAACCTTTGCTGGAACTCACCTGATTTTAATAAACTTTCCTTTTCATTTAAGCCATTTTGAAGTGGAGTTTTACTGCTTATAGTTAAAAAGGATCTTTCTGGATTTCCACATTGGCTTATATAAAAAGATTGAAATTGTAAGCCTGAGCCTTGTGTTTATGACTCAGAAGCATGACTTACTAACTTTGTGAATGGGGGCAGGGCACTAACCATCTTGAGGTACAAGTGAAACAACAGCATGTATTTTGTAAGTACAGTTATGAAAAAAGAGAGGGCAACTCAGTGTGTTAGCTGTACAATGTCTATAAACTTTAACGGTCAGACAAGTTCTAGCAAACAACCTAGTATAGCAAGTGGGGCCAATAATGGATCTACACCCCAACCCCACAATGTTTAAATTCAAGATGCTCCACCCAATGTCCACATTATGAAAACTGCCCCCTCTATGATCAGAAACATTTGAAGTCAAAGGAAACAATTGTGACTGCATAAATGCTAATAAATGAACATTTTATTTGGGTTAGCATTAGTATTCTGGTTTTTAAAGATTAGATATAGAGATATCACGAATTTGATCTTCAACCCAAACTTTTTTTTTTTTTTTTTTTTTTGAGACGGAGTCTTGCTCTGTCGCCCAGGCTGGAGTGCAGTGGCGTGATCTTGGCTCACTGCAAGCTCCACTTCCTGGGTTCACGCCATTCTCCTGCCTCAGCCTCCCAAGTAGCTGGGACTACAGGCGCCCACCACCATGCCCGGCTAATTTTTTGTATTTTTATTAGAGATGGGGTTTCACTGACGTTGTGATCTGCCCGCCTCAGCCTCCCAAAGTGCTGGGATTACAGGTGTGCAACCCAAACTCTAAATCCCTTAATAATACCTTAATTAAGGGTTACCTTAACAAATCCCTTAATTATACTTCATGCAGGAAAACAGCATGAAGTATAATCAACTGTGAAACAGGTTAGGACTGGGTACAGTAGGTCACACCTATAATCCTAGTACTTTGGGAGGCTGAGGCAGGAGGATCGCTTGAGCCCAGGAGTTCAAGACCAGCCTAAGCAGCACAGCAATACCCTGTCTCTATTAGGGGGAAGAAAAAAAAACGGCTGAGCCAACAACATGATAGAGAGGTGGTCTGCTATTGGCAGCAATTCAAACAACATGGCTCAAGCAATCTCTATTAAAATGTCTGGAACGAGAAATTAACAGATAGGCATATTCATGAAGCTATAGATTTTTTTTTCTGTGACTATCAACGATTCTGTACCAGAGACACATTCTGAAATTTACATTTTTCTTCTTAAACATTTTATTAGAAAGTACTTAAATACTTAATACATTAGTATTTAAGTACTTAAGTTAGTACTTAAATTAGTATTTAATACTAATTTAAGTATTAGTATTCAAGTACTTACACAATTTATTGGCTAGTCATATATATATAGACACATATAAATTTATTGACTAGTCATATATATAAATATGGACACACATACATATACATATTTACACATACACAAACATACACATAAACATACAGTAGACCAAAGGGAGCTTTAAAACAAGCACTAAATAATATTTAACCGCAGAATTAGAAAATACATTGTGAACTTCCTAAGTTATTAATCACATGTTATGAGAATGTAACTTTTATGTATTAAAAAATAAAACAAGGCAAAAACTTTATTGCACTTAACAATATACAAAATAGAATATACAAAATAAAAAAATCCATTATCAGACTGTAGATACAAAATGATTAGTTATTTGCATGTAATAAACATTAATATTTCAATAAAATATATTTTAAATAGAATAGTATTACCAGACTGTATTCGGACAGTATAGTATCACAAAACGTTACAGGAAATAGTAACAATCTGCAAATAACAGAATTTTTTATATTACATACTAAATACAAGTTTTATCTCCATTTATGCATATCATTAAAGAAAATGTTAAAGAATTCTTATTCTAATTTTGTGTACTTTTATTCTAGAACTATGTATTGCAATTTCCAAGAAATAACCTACAGTTTCCCAGAAGGATTATTTTTAATACTGGCAGTCTTCCTGTTCAATACACAAAATATCATTCTTTTCTTCTGTCAGAAAACTCAAAATTAAAAACTACACCAGGCTCTTTGTTCAGTGTTTTCTCTTCTTCTTGGATGCAGTGAACTCTAAAGACATAAAGTTTAAAAGTCAGTCAGATTGGAAAAAAAAAAACTTGACACTTAAATGATAATACCTAATTGATAACATACATTTAAACTACATAGCTATCTAACTGGCACAACACAATAAGGATGCCCTCACAGCAAAGACACAACAAAAAAATCTTAAACCTGACATATTCAAGAATTTTTTTTTCAAAATGATATAGCAGTTTAAAACATACTATCAGCCAGGAGCGGTGGCTCGTGCCTGTAATCCCAGCACTCTGGGGGGCTGAGGTGAGCGAATCATGAGGTCAGGGGATCGAGACCTTCCTGGCTAACATGGTGAAACCCCATCTTTACTAAAAAAAATACAAAAAATTAGCTGGGCGTGGTGGCGGGCACCTGTAGTCCCAGCTACTCAGCAGGCTGAGGCAGAAGAATTGCTTGAACCCAGGAGGTGGAGGCTGCAGTGAGCCAAGATTGTGCCTCGGCACTCTAGCCTGGCCATGATTGCGCCTCGGCACTCCAGCCTGGGTGACAGAGCAAGACCTTGTCTCAAAAAAAAAAAAAAAAAAAAAACACATAACAACAATAAAAAATACTATATCCATTGAGATAGTAAGATCTCAATCTTATTGCAATATCAATCTATTAAGATAGTAGCCCTTAGCCATTCTAAATCCTAATTAATAATAAGTTACTGTGAAGTTGTTTCATATGGGTCATATGGGTACACCCTCCCTATAATTATATGAACTCAGGGTGCTAGATCTCAAAGGTATTTAGGCCAGTACTAAGAAGAAGAAAATGACTAAGATTTCAATTTCATTTCAATTAAACCTAGAAATATAACCCAAAACACTAGTACTATACATCATTCTGGCTACCACAGGAGATGCCAGAACCAACACTCAAATAATTGTCCATCTACAAACAGCATGAACCTAAAGGTTACTGATCATTAAAAGCAAAGAAAGCAATAGAAAACACAAAAACATGAAAATTATAAAAGATGTGGCAAAAAGAAATATTCTGGCCAAGCACGGTGGCTCATGCCTGTAATCCCAGCACTTTGGGAAGCCAAGGCAAGCGGCTCACTTAAGGTCAGGAGTTCAAGACCAGCCTGGCCAACATGGTGAAATCTCGTCTCTACAAAAATACAAAAATGAGCCGGGCATGATGGGGGGCGCCTGTAATCCCAGCTACTTGGGAGGCTGAGGCAGGAGAATCGCTTGAACCCGGGAGACGGTGTTTGCAGTGAGCTGAGATCACGCCATTGCACTCGAGCCTGGGTAACAAAGCAAGACTATCTCAAAAAAAAAAAAACAAAAAAGAAAAAAAATATTCCCCACCAGTGCAAAAGAAAAGGGAAATGGCAAAAAAAAGAAAAAGAGAAAAGACAAGTAAAAAAAAAAATTAAGATGAAAACAAATTCCTAAGCCAGGCACGGTGGCTCATGCCTGTAATCCCAGCACTTTGGAAGGCCGAGGCAAGTGGATCACTTGAGCCCAGGAGTTTGAGACCAGCCTAGGCAACACAGTGTGACCCTGTCTCTACAAAAAATACAAAAATTAGCCAGACATTGGGGCATGTGCCTTCAGTCCCAGCGACTCAAGAGGCTGAGGCAGGAGGGGAGGACAGCCTGAGACGGGGAAGTTGAAGCTGTAGTAAGTCACTGTGATCAAATCACCGTACACCAGCCCGGGCAACCCAGCAAGACCCTGTCTCACGAAGAAAAATAAAGAAAACAAATTCCTGGAAGAGAGCAGCAGTCAGGATTAGAAGTACTGAAACCATGTCCAGATGAAAGCAGGTCAGAGGTCTGACAGAGACATCTCTACAAAGATGAAACTGATAGGATACCTAATGGATATCCATACCATCATTTATTGTGTTATCCTTGACTCTGAGATGTCATTAATGATATGACTAATACTGAAATTCTCTAATGGGCCAAAGATGAAAGGATCACAGGAACACACAGCCAACTGTCATGTTCCTCAAGGGTTCTAAACCTTGATGCTCTACGAATATAAGTTAGTTTACTTCACTAGTTTGACGAAATTTTATCTGTACCTGTTCCACTCAAACTTTCATTCTCTTCTTCTGTAATTACAGGCATACTCAGACTTAAAGGTTTATCTTCCTTGTGTATATTCTGCACGTTACCTAGAAATATTTAGAAAATGATTTTATATGAAAGCAAAGAATATTATACTTTTTGAGAAAACATTTTACAAAAAATGTCATTATTACAGCATAAAAATTAGACATGCAAAAACTTAAACTGTAATAGTAAGCAGAAATACACATTCTAGAATACCTATATTTTTTCCAGTACTAACATATTTTATTTATACTTTGAAAGTAGTCTCTAGTTCTTCCACTAGATAAAACAGAGAAAAAAGGAATAAACAAAATTAGCCAAACAAAAATACCATATTTAATCTTTATCACACACAACAGGGGTTATATCTGCAGCCATCAAAGAATAATCGCATATGTTACTTCAACTTTATTAAATTAATTACAAATGTAGTTTTTGAGTTTAACAACCTTACTTTTGGATGTGAACATACTTTCTTTTCTCACCACATATGCTCTACAAGATATATTTCTCTAGTCATAATTTGCGACTGACTTTCCATTTTCAAAAACACTAGAGGTTCTCTACATCAACCTTCTGTTACCTGAAGAAATATCCCAACCAAATGTATCAGATACCATTATCATATCAAGTACCATTTAGCACAAAACTTCCATGTCCCAAAAGCAACCCCCATAAACAGTGACTATTTTTATGCTGTTTTTCTTCGCCCAACACTTTTCTCATTTGATATATTATATCTTGCTTTTTTTTTTTTTTTTTTTTTTTTTATGGAGTCTCACTCTGTCACCCAGGCTGCAGCACAGTGGCGCAATGTCAGCTCATTGCAACCTCCGCCTCCTGGGTTCAAGCAATTCTCCTGCCTCTGCCTCCTGAGCCTGCACACTGAGAACAGAAAGATTTCACTACAATAAGTGTAACAGATACACTGTTTTTTTAAAAAAAAAGAGAAACATAAGAACAAAGCACTGCGGCATGAAGCCATTTAGTATAAACTGCCCCACACTTAAGCTATTTTTTTTTTTTTTTTTTTAGAGACAGTC